AGATTTAACAAGCTTGTTTGGAACATGCATATCAAACCTGATGAATTTGAGAAGAAGTGGGAGTTGATTATTAATGAATTCAATCTGGAAGATAAAAGATGGTTCAATGATATGTTCGAATTACGTGACAAATGTATACCTGCATTCTTCAATGACACTAGAATGTCTGGATTGATGAAAACCACTTCAAGATTAGAAAGCATGAATTCCTTTTTCAACACTTACTTGAAATCTGGAAATTTACTTTTACATTTCGTGATGAACTATGACATTGCAATTCAAAAAAACAAAGAGATACCCAAAAGGAGCTTGATCATGAAACAAATAAGGCAATATATAAATTTATTTCACCGCGACCGATAGAAAAACATGCTGCAAAAGTTTATACAAGTACATTGTTTTATGAAGTCCAAAAATAAATCTACAAAGGTTCCTGATACTGCCATTACAAACATGTTGGATCAAAGAACGGATGAGAGTTATACAAATTGGAACAACCGGACAAAAATAGCGATTTAAAAAGAGAAATTGAGTATAATATAATATTATTTTAAATTTTGATGAATCACAACATAATATACAACTATATTCAGTTATGATTACAAAACAATATATACAACTATATTTAATTCAATAGAAAAAACACTTAATGCTTTAATTTTATTTTGAACATGTAGAAATAAAACTTCCAGAAAATGATGTAAAATGTACTTATGAACACTTCAACCGCTGTGGGAATTTATGCATACACGCATTCAACATACTCATGAAAAATGGAATTAAGGAGATACCTGAACAGTACATTAAGAATCGTTGGAGAAAAGATGTGATATCAAGGCATTATCACTTTGGTAGGCATGTATATGATACATGAGACAGTGAAATTAACATATCTGTCAATCAAGCATACTACAACTTTGAAGCATGTTTGGTCTATGTAAGAAAAAATAAAGAGAAAATGGATTTCTTTGTTAAGAAAACAGAAAGCATGCTGAAGGAATACGAGAACGATCCTACCAATGAATTGTCGAAAAATAGGACATATGTTGAAGAGGTAGGAAAGCTTATTTTATTCCAAAATACATTGACATCAATGTTCCAAATGTTCAAAGCAATAAAGGAAGTGGAAAGAAGAATAGAATTCAGAGTGCAACAGAAATAACATATAAAAATTCAAACAAACAAACAAGAAGATGATCAGGATGTGGAGAAAGGGCTCCTTATAAATTACGTACATGCCCTATCAAACTTGCAGCAGAACAATCATCAAAAGCTATATAGATAATTACTAGCTTAATCTGTAATGAATAAGTCAGGACTTTTTTTCTAAATAATATACTTTTAGTTTGATGCATTTTACTCTTTTTACAAGACAGAATGTACTATGATTTTTGTTTACTGAATTCTATCTACTTTGATAATTCTTTCTTTGATTTTGTTAGTAGTACAACAAATCAGTTTTCTTGAAATTTCTTTTATCTTGAACCTTCTTCTATCTAACTTTATGTCTTTTATGATTACAAAAGTATATAATCACTTATGATTAAACAAAACATATGAAGTGGTATTACATAATCATTTATGATTATACAAATAGAAATAATTATGTAATCTGTTAACTGTTATTCAATATATGTAATCATTTATGATGACATATAAACTGTTATTCAATACATGTAATCATTTATGATTACAGATAAATAAAATGTAAGTTATACTACAAATCTCATTACATATAAAAATATAACATATTCATTTATGATTGAACTTCCATAAAATGTTAATACAAACAAAATTAAATAATAAAATCCACTACCATACATATAAAACTTGTGCAGAATAACCACACCATATAGAACAACACTGTTCATAAAATATATAAACATAACCATATTCATCTACAAAATCAACTTCTAATCACCCATCATTGAATAACATCAAACATGAGCAAATCTCCAATAACAAATAATTTCACAAGCCTCAAATACCACTTTCCCCATTTTTTCCAAGATTCTTGTTCTTGGTGTTCGTAGCTAGATTTTCATACAAAATGTAGCCGACTCCAAGAACACTTCTACCATTACTTAAAAAGATTATCTTCATTGAACATACCAAATCTTTACTACGTATCTGATGTAGAGAAATGTTGTTTATTAAAAAGAAATTTTCTTTAAATGAACAACATTCCTCTACTTCAAAGACATCTAGTAAAGATCTAATATATAGTGAATGAAGATAAACTTTTTAAGTAATGGTGGAAGTGACGTTCTTGGAGTCAGATACAATCAGTATGAAAATCTAGCTACGAATAAAAGAACAAGAATCTTGAAAAAATGGGGAACATGTTATTAGAGACAACAAAATTAGTTCTTTTTGAGTTATAGAGTGCATATTTAAGCTGAAATGAAATGGAAGTTGTTTACATCATAAATAAGTAATGGTGATATATAAAAAAAATTTAATTAAAAATTAAAGAAATTAATAAACGAAACCAACTATTGGAGAAGTATAAGAATGATTTTCTTCAAAAGTGAAAAGTAAATCAACATCACAAAATAAGACTTCAATGTTTGATTCATATGTTTTACAACTTCACCACTCATCTTTGACCAAATCTAAGGGGTAGCACTAGGCTACCCCCTTGATAAAAACATATTCACAATTTAATGAAAAAGCTGATTTGGTTTTGATTTATAAAGCCAAGATTCCTGACTACAAACACTAGAAAACAAAAGCAAAAACTAAAAAACATAAGATTTTGCATGGTGATGTATTCAATGCAGTCAAAATAAGATAAAAGTATGCTCATTTGTCAAGAAAAAAAATATAATAAATTATTGGCGTTCAACATCTGTAATCATTTATGATTACAAAAAACAGAAAGAAAAAATTAATTGATGTTTAATATATGCTATCTAACATATATACAATCACTAATGATTACATATAATGGGTACTAAAAACATAATTACATATAAAAATATAACATAATCACTTATGATTAACATTCCATAACATAATTCATAGAAACAAACTTACATAATAAAATCCATCAAAATACATATAAACTTGTTTACAATATCCATCACCATAAAAACAAACATTGTTCAGAATATCCATAAACATAAACACAACATATACCAACATAAACAAACTTGTTCTTAAAACATCAACATTAAAAAAAAGCATCTAATCACCCATCATCCATTAACTTCGAAAATCATAAAATCTTCAATAAAAAAACTTGACAACCTCGTTTCTATATTCCATTGAGCATTATATGAATGCTTACCACAAATCTTTGGATCAACTTTTTGATACTTATAAGCAACTTTTAACACATCATCACGCTTTGTATTAATCTCAAGTTAAAATTGTTGCTACATATTTCATTCTCAACTTCTCCAGATTTTTTTCTTAAGAAGGACCTTCTTTTGGAAGACCACATTTCCATTTAGAACATTTTTCTCCAAAATAACTCTCCATATGCCTCATAGAAAAAACACCACAATCCATTTTGTTGTAAACTGTCCTCCATGGCATTATCAATCTTACTAGTGTAAGATTTTTATCAGCCATTTCATTTGCTCTAACATGCTTGATCTCTTTTAGATACTTCAAAAAAAACTTTTACTAAAAATCATATATGATTTGAACTTAGAAAAATATAAGTATAATAATTATAAAACATCTCATATATGATTTGAAATTTGAAAATTAAATATGATTTGAAACTTACAAGAGGTTTAAAAGCTGCACCATACTTATCATCAAAATCAACATCATCTGCACCATTGTCAATAACCTCAAAAGCAAGTTTCTCCAGAATGATAACAATAAGATATATGTGTTTTTTTCCTCACAACAGGGAAAAATACTGGACATCAACATGTATAATAATAGAAAGAAAACATTAATAGATATATATATATATATATATATATATATATATATATATAGATATATATATATATATATATATATATATATATATATATATATGTATGTGTATGTATGTATAAAAAAAACTAAATATATCATATCAACATCCTTCAAAGCCTTCAAGTCTCTATCACCACAAACACTGATAGAGAAGTTGTCCTTGAAAACTTTATATTTTCCGATTTCCTTCAAATAATTATATTCAAGTGACAAAGTCTGTAATATAAAAAAAGCAGAAGTGATTATATAATAAAATGTAAATATTTAATATAAAAAATTATTAATGATTATCAAAATATGAAAAGAAAAACATAGAATAAAATCTTATAGTATCAACATTCATGAACAATCTGAGTGGAGAATTAACATCTCTGAATTTGTCTTCATGATTTAGTATACGAGACCATGAATCAAGAACACTTACATGCAAATAGGTTTTTTTCTAAAGATTTTCATAATTAGCTCTAAAACTCATAAGATCTGATTCCACAAGCAAGACCATATCCCTGTAGACATTTATTTTAATGTTATTAAAAAAAATTATCATTCAAAAAATAAAAAATTATATATAAAAAAATTAACCTGGATTTCCTTGAAGACTGAAATGCCATTGACAAATAAAAATTTCTACTTTTGTCAAACTCGGTTTAAAATCAATTAACATTTCCTTAGAAAGTGACTTATAAATATAAGAAATCTTCATTTATCTCTTTCCTTTGACATCTACTTCCGATGTTCCTTCTTCCTTTATATCTTTAGGTTTGTCAAACTTTGCTTTTGATGGACTTTTTTCATTTATCAATCCAGCTTGGTTAGAAATTGGTTTTGATGATCCTTCTAATGTACCCAAAGGGGGTGCAAAAGAAAATAGATTAGCATTAATAACATCAAAATTTGGAACAACACACTGTGGCCCAACACTTGGTTTTCCCAAATGAACTCTATCCATAATCTTTTTCTTTGTCATCCGTTCGGGAGAACTTTGACTTTGAGATGCCTTTTTGGAACCTTGAGAATCTTGACTAAATCCAAGGCTAAAGCTTGGACCAGAAAACTTCTCAACTTCCTTCTGCTTTGTCCTTTTTCAATGATTGAGTCTCATTTAAATCCTTCCATTGTATAATCTGTAAACCCTCTTTAGTAGTTTCTACCCAAAAAAAATATAAAAATCATATATGAATAAACAACAATTATAAATACAATCATATATGAATAAACAATAATTATAAACTAATTACCTCCATCTTTATTTTTATTTGAACAATCTTCTATTGCTTTCCCTAAATCCGAATCAACTTCAACAACTTCACCTTTTACCACACCTTCTCCATCCTTCTTTTCTTTAGAAATTTCAACTAACACTTCAGCAAAACCTTTCAATAAACTTGGATCAATTAATTCATCTTCTTTCTTCTTTTCTACAATAACTTTATCAACAGTATGATCTGAAATTACTTCTTTGTTATGATCATCCCCACCCAAATTTACAGTCCCTAAATTATTAAAATCATAAGTGAATCATCTATATAACATATTCATATGCGTTTTATGTATAAAAAAATCATAAATAAATACTTACCATCATCAAGTTCATTTTTTCTCAAAACCAGTCAAATTGTTATTCACATCATCTTCAACTGGTTTCTGATTTATACATCCATCAACCAGGTTTTCAGTACCTATAAAATTCAAATATAAAAAATTAAAATCATCTATGATTAAACTATATATAACAAAAATATATGCTTACCTCGATCCAAACTTTTAAGAAAACTTTCAACAACTGGATCACACATGAATTGACTAAAAGATACATCTTCTTGGCAATCAATTAGACCAACACTCTTAGTAACATTTTCGACAATAGAATTTAAATTCATGGCCTCTTCTTAATTGCATCCACTTCCATTTCCTTGTTCATCATCTTCATTACCAAAATTTCCCATCATAACATCATCACTTTTATCATCATCTTTTCTCATTCAACAAATCATTATTTTTACCCATATGGTCCTCATATGCATGATCATTATCATCACCTTCAACACCATCAACTTTACCTTCAACATCATTTTTACCAATATGGTCCTCATGTGCACGCTTTCCATCCCCCTCAGCACCACCACATTTCCCTTGATCATCATCTTCAACATTTTCATGATCATTCAGAAAATCATTTCCATAATCTTCATCATCATTTACTTCTGTTCTTTCTTCATCATCATTAATTTGACCAAAAGCAGGTGTCAATATTGGTTCTTTAATTTGTGGTAAAACATAACGTAAATCAAAACTTTATGTGCTTAACTCTTCAATAGGAAATAATAATTTCTAATTTTTCAAATTTTGACTTTGAGGAAATTTCAACACTCCCTGATCTATCTTTACAACAAGATCCTTTTTCAAATCCTCCATCTTCTGATACATATATGAAATTTAGTTTCATACACCTACATAAAAAAAATACTTAAAAATAAATACTTAATCATAAAAAGTCATAAATGAATACACTAATGAAATCATAAATGAATAAAACTATAAAATTACCACCACAACACTAACTTTATTAACATCAAACTCTTCTTCATCCTCATTACATAAACCATCATCACCATCAGATTCATCCTCATCACCTCCTGATTCCTCCTCATTATACTCAGATTCTTGACATTCTTCTTCAAGACATGGTTCATTAACATCTCCACATCCAAATCCTCCATCCATTCTTGTAAAATATCCTCAAGAAACCTTATCTTCTCTGACGTCCAATAAAAAATAGTTGGACATATAGGTGTGACTTGCAAATGATCAAACTTGAAACTATCAACATACAACAACTACAAAAAAAAAACACACACACACACATATATATATATATATATCAAATAAGTTAACTTTTAAAAAGATATACTTATAAAGTTTAATATAGAATTAATAATAATATATTATATTACATTGCATAATCATATATGATTATTCATATGTATATATACAAATAAAATATATCATTAATCATAATATATATGAATAGTCATATATGATTATGATGTGTAATATATAATTAAACAAAAGTTAGACTATGTAATCATATATGATTATACAATCATATATGATTTATACAAATAAAATGTATCATTAATCATAATATATATGAATAATAATATATGATTATGCTGTGTAATATATAATTAATCATATATGATTATACAATCATATATGCTTAAAAATAAAAACAAACATATTATTACAACTAAAAAAAGATTTAATATTAAAAATTAGTTCACGTACCATAAGGTATGCTGCTCGTTCATAAAAGAAAGATGATTCTTTTTCAGGGTTGTAAACCTTCTTCGTCCTTACCAAACAATCGACAATGAAATCACACTAGTCAATGCTACTTAAATTAGTATATCTTCTTATTAAATACACTGAATTCAGATTACATTTGCCCATGCTTGTAGACTAACAGAATGTATTAATAAATAGAACCAAAAAATTGATTCTAAAGTTATCATCCGCTGCACTAGTTCGAACAAGTTCATTCTTTAGCTGTTTCAATCTCAATTTATCAATATTTCCATACTCTTACTTCCACTCAAACATACAAATCTCTTCATCATTCTCGGAAATGTAATCCATGTTTGAAGTAATGAACCACCAGATGGTAATCCTAACATCTCATGAACATATTTACTATCAACACTATCCTGACAATTCTCAAAATCCACCTTCAAAGTTTCAAAATTAAAATGATCAAGAACATAATAAACAATCTTTAACGGTACGTCAATCATCTTCATCCGTAACAAACTGCAAAATCTCATAGCCCTAACACCCAACAATGACCCAGGTGAGCATCTGTTATTCAATGAAGGAAATTCTTTTATAACAACAAAATTTTTTCTCTTTCTTCACAACTTTAGCTTCTCTCTTTGGTTTCTTTGAAGATCTAGGACGACTCTGAAAATCAGAATCATCTTCATCAGATAATTCACGTTTGTTACTTATGGTTTTGACCTTATCCAAAACTATTTTCTTTCCCTTAATGGTCAGATTCACTTTTGGTTGTTCAATAACTGCTTTTTTGGATTTTTTTTGATCGTGTTTGCACTACTTCCTTGACCTTTTCTTTTTTGGAAGATGATTGTGTCTGCCTTGAGCTTTCTATTGATACATTCTTTGTAAAATTACATTTTTAACTACAATTTTTATTAGAAAAATAGTGTTAGTAAAAAAGAAAACAAAATACATATAGTTAGTTACAAATGAAGAAACATAATCACTTATGATTTCAAAAACATACCTTTATCATTTTTAACCTTGGATTTTTTCTCTAAAACATCTTCACTTTCTTTTTCATAAATAGAAGCATTTACTACAAAAAATTAACATAATTAGTTATTAATACAGAACAAAAATGCATGTGACTAATAAACTATGATTTTAACCCACACAATCACTAATGACTATAAAAACATACCTTTATCATTATTATTTTTTGACCTTTTCTCTTTTGATTGCGGAGAATCATTCATATTTAGATTGGTTTCCTACATAAACAAACGTATGAAATCATTTATGAATAGAACTTGAAATATACATAAGACTAAAACTATTGAATATCACTCCATTGAAAAAAGCACAAAATCAGTTATGATTACAACACATACCTTTAACATTTCTTTTCTTTGAAATTTCTCTTTAACTTCGCTAGAAACATCTTCATATTCACGTTGGATACACATAAATACAAAATCACAAAATATGATAATCAATTATGAATAAAAAAATAATAGAAGAAAATGCGACAAAAAACATTATATAAACCTTTTTGAATATCGATTTTTTGAACTGCACCTTTGGAAATAACACCGCTTCTACCGTCTTCGAGATTTTTTTTGTTTTTTGAACTTTTTTCGAATATAGTTTGTTTTGAAATCCTTATTTGTGAAAATATAAACAACTACTTAGATCAAAAACCACCACAAACAAACATAATAAAAAAATAGATGAACTGTAAATAAAAAATAATCAAAATCAAGTAAAAATGACGAAAAAACTACTAAATCAAAACAAAAATCATCATTATCAACTTAAAACTACAGTTAACTAATTAAAACAAACATGCATTATCAATAAAATGAAAAATTAATCGTATTCTAACATTTCATTTCAATTAACGAAGATGCGACTTCGTTTAGATTTTCTCCTGAAAACATTTACAGATTTTTCAAACTTAATCTGCACAACTAACAAACGAAAATTAGGGCTCAATGTGATAAAGAAAGAAAAAAGGGTTTTGTGAGAGTTTCTAAGTGAGATTTTGATCGAGAAAGAAAAGAAGAGTATAGGCGGTTACAGTATCGTAGCCTCTGCAAAACTGATATGATTGTTTGTAAAATTACAATACTAACCCTAAAATGGTTACTAACGGCGTTAATTTGAATAGTTAAATATGTATTTACAATTATGCCACCGCCAGATTTTACAAATAAAGATCATAAAATCAAAGGGCTCTGCAACTATCTCATAATCTCTAATTTTTTATTAATCTCAAGGGAGCCAACATCTATATATATATATATATATAATATATATATATATATATATATATATATATATTATATATATATATATATATATATATATATAATTATATCTATATATATATTATATAATATATATGTATATATATATATATATATATATATATATCTATATATATATATGGAAAAGTCAATATATGGTTGTTATGTATGTAATATTAGGTATATAAACATTAAAATCGACTTCATTTTGATTAAAAAAAAACACATTTTTCTTTCACTGTGATTTCGAACGATTGATTTCAAAGCTGGAAACTTCATTTAACTGGAAACGAAGGGTTGTGGTTAGTAACGAAGGCCATGAAATCGATTGAATTGGAGTCGATTTTTAGTGAGATTAGAAGAACTGTAAGAACGAGAATTTGGGGTTAATGTACGAAGGGTCCTGTGTTTGGATTTTGAAGATACGATGGGTCGATTCAGAGGTTGGATGAATGGCTAAGAAGTTACTGTTCATTACTGTTCATTGGATAGGCTTCGTATGCTTCGTATGATAGAGGATTTTTCGTATGAATTGGAAAGAAGAAAGAAATGTTTCGAAAATGGTCCTTGAAGATTCGCATGTTTGTCACATGACAATTTCGTACGAATGGCAAAATTTTCGTATGTTTGGATGCAAAATTTTCGTATGTTTGGAATGGAGAAGTAAAATTTTCGAATGTAGTCCCTCAAATTTCGAATGGTTGACAAATGGAAAAAGGCTTCGTATGAATGATCAAAATTTCGTATGTTTTGATCAAAAAGCAAAATTTTCGAATTCAGCCCCTGAACTTTCGAATATTTGGCAACCTCAACAACTAATTGAAGTTTCGAATGTTTGACACTTTTCACCCAAATTCGAATTTTTTTTGAAGTTTCGAATGTATGGGACAACTCTTCGTATGTTTGGAACACAAATGGCAGAATTTTCGAAAATAGTCCCTGAGGCTTCGAATGTTTGGCGGTTCATACCCAAATTCGAAAAAAGACTGTTTTTTGCTGAAATTTGAAGAAAATACATTTCAAGCCCCTGCAGTTTGTGCAAATTGACGCTTTCTACCCAACTTTGGAAAATGGGGAGAGTTTTGCATATTTGGCTGTTTTGGGCGCAATGGGTTCCTGCAGAATTCAGAAAGTTACATTTTTTACCCGGTTTTTGAAAAATCTTGCAACTTTCACCCAAAAAGTAAAAAAATTTCATAAATTGGAAATTTTTTTGTGGCTTTTTCGTGATTGTTTTTCCGTGCAAGATTTTTGGTGATTCATTTTTGGTACACATCAAGGGGGAGTATCGTGATGACTATTCCTCGGGCGCTTCTCACCCTTAGTGGGTTTTATAATCATTTTTTGATTATAAAAAGGGGGAGAATGATGGTATTCGAAGCTTCTTCGGGGTTTGTCGAATATTCATTTGCGGATTTGAAGACCGGTGTTACTTCGAGGGGGAGTTTGGTCTTGATCGCGCTAGCTTGTTGGATACTGAAGCCGGAGCATCCAATCCTAACTTTGAGGGGGAGAATGTTAGGGTGCAAAGTTACTCTTGGATGTAGTGTTTTAGGCTTACCCTCTTGTATGTGTAAATGGGTTGAGTCTTTCCTATAAATAGGAAGTGAGTGACTCCCATTATGTAAGGAACCATTTGGAGTGTTAGACTAGAGAGAGAAATTGTGTACAAACCCATTTGTATATTCTTTCTAGATCTAATATGAGCTTACAAAGATTTATTTACTCCTTGTGTTCTTGATTTTACATGATGACTCACTAGATCTTTCATATTCCGCACATGCCATCATAATCAACACCACTACAGAAGCTATGACCTATTGTTAATTACTAGTTCTTAGGTTTTGACTTTTCACATACAAATTAAAATTTATATCCCTTCAGTCTACAAAGCACCAAACTAACATGAACCTAAGAGAGAGAAAGAGAGTTACCTCAAAATAGAGGAGTCGAAGATCGGGAGATGGAGTGCAACTATGCAAATGTGTTTGAAGGAGTCAATGAGAAGAAGGCGGCAGGTGTCTGCCAGTCGATCAACAAAGATGGGTTGCAGGTGACAGCGGAGAGAGGTTAAGAAGACGAAGGCAGTGCCCATTTACACCAAAATTTGTAAATCTTTTTAGGTTTTCTAGTTTT